AAAAATCTGTCAAAATATAAAAACGTTGCATTGCTAAAATATTCCTACCTACAACAGAAGAACTAATGTTGTGAGGCCATTTTTGAACGTTTTAATAGAGTTATATTTTGACATTTTTTTTTAACAGTCTTGATCATGTGTAAATTTTTTTTTAATGTATCATAAAAAAATTAAATTATTAAACGCAACCATCTGAGAAAATTACGTTATATTGCTCAATGTTGAACATTCTCTATTGAGTCTATTCGACACGTTCGTGTAAAAAATACAAGTCTCCGAACGAAAACTAACAGTGAACAATAATAATTAATTATATTAAGAATTTCATAATATACATGTAAAATGTACATTTGGAACTTATAAGACTAGATACTAGTAAAATATATGAATTTCCCCTAAAGAATAATTATCTAAGACCAAGTAAAAAACAAAAAAAAACATGTTTAACGTCCCCGCTCGCTTCCTTTTTTTTTCCTTTTTTTGCAACCACTTTTTATGGCGATTTTTTCCTTTTTCGAATTATCGTTTCTCGATCATACAAAGAAGACTTCTGAATAAAAATGAGATGAACACTGTTAATTCATTTTGCCCTTTTTCTTTATTTGTCATAAATTCTGTATCGTTTTGATGAAGAAATGAAACAAAGAAGACTTCTGTTTTACATTGACCCTTTGAAAACAAGCAACAACCACGAAAAAAAAAGGGTGCAAGCTTTCTTTAGAAGTGGTCATTTAAAGAAAAAGACCTCTTCCTCCCTTTTTGCGAAAATTCCGAACGCTAAATGTTTTTTTTTTTTTACTTGGCCTAAAGTAATATTTATTCACACCATTAATAGTACACTGGGATGAGTAGCCTAAGTAGGGGCCTGGCTCTAGGCCAACACTTTTACGATCATTTTGACGTGCTATTCGATAACGGTACATTACGAGAAAGATAAGTTACAAAAGATAAGATAAGAGAAAGATAAGATATTCAGGGAACTGACCAACAAATATAAATAGTAATCATTATGAAAGCAAGTAGCGTAGAGTAGGTCCTTATTGTTTACATGTATGTATACGTCACGTTTTGACAAGTTAACTTTAACTTAACGTATTTTTGTTTATCTTTTACATTAGCTTATAATCATATGATTACAACAAAACCTTCACTTATAGAACAGTTCTATCTCTAACATGTATAAATGGTATCAAACTAGCTTGTTTCATATTAACTGACTCAAAATTGTACAAATCATAATGACTTTGAAATTGAAGGCGTATGTTTGCACATAACAATTTCAACAACACTTAAAACCACGTATTTATTTTCCTTTTTATGAGTTTATAACTTTACTGCTGAGACAAGGAACACCTTCATTTATGGAACAAATCGATCTGTAACATGTACACGTGGTTACAGACTAACCTAGTTTGTGTTACATGATTCCAGATTTTGAAAAAAAAACCTCACCTGCACGTTCTTATTTTCCAAGATTTCACGTGCTGTCTGGGCGCTATTGCGCATATATTACACGGATCTCATCGCATGTCCGGCAAAAGCATATATTTGCATGACTGTTCATCTGACAGTTGTTTTACATAAAAATTAACTGGAAGATGCCACTGACACTACTTAATAACAGTAGTTGTGTCCTCTCGTACCTAAAATATAGAGAACTGGAATTATCCCTTTTTTATTGGCAGTGTATGTCATTAGACTTAAATATAAGTGACCACAAACTTCAGCTTTATTTTCCCCCACGTGTTTACTTAGAAAAATATAAACGCGAATCTAGGTAATAAAGACAATGGGGGAGGGGGGGGGGAAGTCATTGAAAAACAAACAAAGAAAATTACACAAACAGGTAAAAAAAGTCAAAGTATTTTGGAAAACAGAATTAATAACAGATAATTGCAATCGGAATTGGGATTTATTATTGATATTTTTTACTTTTTTATCTGTTTCTGTAATTTTCTTTTCGTACAGAGTTTACGCATGTATCTGATAATAAATAAGTAAAATGCTAATTTAGGAATTTGTCATTTTATACCATTCCTAAAATATGGGACTTATTTTATTTTCTTTACCTGATTGTATAATTTTTTTTTGTCTTTTTTTTTATCTATTTCAAAATTTTCCGATTGATTTTTTTTCATGACTTTTTTCCGTTGCCTTTTTTTTACCCTTGTCTTTATTATCGCCACTGCATTTCGTCTGACTTCGACTTATTTATTCTGATTTATTCTTTATCACTATTTTATGATATTCTTATAACCACATGGCAAACTATGTCAGAGAACAAAACTTACTTACAGAAGTCTGGTGATTTTACTTATTAAAAGTTTTGAGTTTTAAATAGATTTAGTTGTAAAATAAATTAAACGAATTAATTACCGCGTGACGTGTGTATGTATCATCGAAATATAATGTCAAAAACCTTTCAAAACACGAATAGTTTGTGTTTCCAGAAAGAACGTTTGTCCTACTCCAGAAACCTTTTAGAAATTCGGTTAAAGATTTAATCGAATGTTGCAAAAACAACATTGACTCAACATTCATTATATAATCATAAAATTTGGGATACGAATAATCGGTCACAGCAGGTAGCTCATTGCCCAGCGTTGGGCTAAAACACAAACATATGTCACTCGGGTGTTGTTCTGAACATTTTTCTTGCACACTGATATAGATTCGTAACTACAACGTCCTTATATTGCTTGTCATCGCTCCTCCTGCGTAACTGTGTTTGTCCTCTACCACATCAGGAAGATGTTTACAAAGTTTTTGTACAAACACAGTAACGTAACAGTATCCAATAACATCACTAGAAGTTCAAAATAAGCCTCTACAAACAAAATTACAAAAAAAAACAACAACGTTTTTTCACTTTAAAGAGTAACGTTTTAATGTGTAACTAAACATACACTTGATAAAAAAAAAACAGAATTTTAAAATCCTTAGAAAGTTTGAACCACTCTTCTGAACTATATAGGGTGATGAATATAAATAGACTGATGATAACAACAGTGAAATACTATGTTATTCGGAAATGCATTTTTGTTAAAAGTAATAATGACTTATTACGTACGACAAAAAATTTGTTATGAGGATTGAAATAATTTCA